GTGTGTGCTTAATGGAGAGAGAGAGGTTGAGAATATGAAAATAGCGCCCTCTAAGGAAATGGCCACTCTCCTCTCCGGATTTTGGGCACGCACACACACATGCCCTTTGTGTTTTTGAGCCACCAGGGCCAGGACTCGCACTGCAGTCGGCCAGGTGGGACCCAGTTCCCTGTGCACAGGCCTCGCTGGCCGCCGTCCAGGGCTGGCCCAGCAGCGAGCGTTCATCACACAGCGTCACGTGTCAGGCATGCTGCTAAACATGTAACACAGCCTTTAAATGATTTTTCTTTTTTTTTCAGAGAGAGAGAGAGAGACAGGTGCCTTTGGTAGGTCTCGCTGCACCTCGGTTTCCCCAGCTTCCTCTCCAGGCAGGGTTATGGGTGCGGGTGGATATGCAGGTATGTCCTGGCCAACCTGGGATTTGAACCTGATAATAAGACTACAGTATTACAATACGACAAGGGTGCCCTGCCACCTGTACCACCGTGGCTGGGCCTGTTGATTGTAAATGAGAAGATTCTATTGTCCCTATTTTACCAAGAAAGCCAGGATTCATGGAGCGAGCTGCCCCTCTTTCTGATGCGCCTTCGGAGGCAGGTCTCCATGCCCTCTGTGGGCAGACAGGGTGGGGCGGGGCCTTGACAGGTTTGGAGAGCGCCTCCTGTGTGCCCCGGACCCGTGCCGTGCGAGTCGAGGGTGTCCACCGAGACCAGGGAGTGGCTGGAGTGGCGTGGTGCCAGGATGAGCCCACGCGGCAGCCTCGGCGTGGGGCACTGGGCGAGCGGCTTCTCTCCGTGGAGGGCACGTTCTCCCTTTTCTGTGTTGTTTTTGTAAGGATGCATGCGAATACTTTATTTTCCCAGCTGCAGCAAGAGCAGGCTGCGTGTTTCAGATTCTTGGGGTGTGCAGAGATGGGTCATGTCAACAACACTGTCCTCCTTGGAGATTCGCGACCCAGGTGAGCGCCTCCCAGGCACGAGGGGAGACAGCAGCACCGCAGAGCACCACAGTGACGCCATGGGGATGGTGTCCCCCCAGGCTCACCCTGGCTGCGGCCATGGCACTAGGCTGCACGTGCGTGCCCTTGACCCCGAGAGGAGAGTGGAGGAGATAGGATGTGGCGTGGAGCCCCGCTGGGGTGCCCTCTCCTCCTTCCTGTTTCTCTGTCTCTCCGCTGAGCACACGTGCCTGCTGCAGGTGCCCGTGGGTCCCCAGTCTCTCTGAGCATCAGCCTTATTCCTGTGAAAGGAGATGTCAGACCTGAGGCTGTCTCGGGTAAAGCTCGCATAATCGTCCGGACTTCTAGATCCTTATTATTCAAAAACTGTCTTTGCTAAAACCCTGTGGTTCATATTTTAAAAATAGCTTGTCGTTGCCAAATGTGAGAAGCTCTGAGTGTGGGGGGCAAGGCTAGACTTACAGGGCGTCTTTTACGTCATTCGATGGCTCGGTACAGGTGCTGGCTAAGCACAGGGGCTCTACAGTCGGCTGAGCGAGTTCAGATCCCATCTTGGCCACTCGCTAGGCATGCGACCGCGGCGAGTTGCCGGACACCCCTGTGCCTCACTTCCCCACCTGACTGCGGGCGGGGTAATCCTCTGACAGCACTCTTACTAACATGTGTAGAGGACGAGGCACGTTAGGTACCTGCTTATTCAGAAACACGTGGCAGGTTAAATCCCGAACCGGCCTGAGGTGTCCAGCGCAGCCTGCCACTTTGCAGGAACTCACAGACGTGTAGACAGCCCGACGGCCGCAGCGAGAGCCTGGCGCCCCGGGAAGGCTGAGCCCTTGGCCTGTGCGTGTGCGACGCAAGAAGAAGCCCGGGTGTGTAGCTGTTGTCCCCTCCCGGTGTTTGATCCGCTTTCATCTGAGGATAATTGCAAGTTCTCCTTGTGGCTCTCTTTAAAAGTCACTCGATGTGCTTTGGCTCAGCGGCCTCCATTCTCCACGGAGCAGTTGAGGCTCTGCCTCCTCCCAGGACGGTTTTAAAGCAGAACCAGCCCTGCTGGGCCCTCCTCCTGAGCCTGACATCCGCTTCCATTACCGCCAACGAGGCAGCGGGGATCAAAGCAAAGACGGCATAATTAGGCTTCCTTTACCTATTCTTGTCAATGTGTTGTTTCCAGCAGACTCTGTGTGTTTCCATCAAGAAATTCGGTAACATAAAAATCTAAGAGTCCAAACAAGAATAAAACTCGGTATTCTATACTTCACACAAAAGAAAATTTTCCTTGGGAGAACGACACTCCATAAACGAATTTATCCCACGCGGCCAGCTCTGTGCCCCAGAGGTTAAGGGAGCCAGATCCCACACGCCAGCCACGCAATTCAAATCCTGGCCCTGGCAGCTTGAAAACCACGCGTGTGCCACCCCAGGCCCTGGTGGGACGGGAGGTGGAGAAGACATTGCGGCACGGCCAGCCTCTCTGCGGCTGCGTTCTTCTCTCTGTCTCTGGTGAGAGCACGTGCCCTCTGGCAAATTTTTAAAAGACTTTTTGGAACCCAAAGGACAGTCTGGGAGTCGCGTGCTGCTGATGTGGACCTGCCTCGGCGCAAGTCCTTGGTCCTCCAGGAGACCAGATTCAGACCCTGCCCTCCAGAATAGCAGGAGGAGACCGTGGCTTGACAGCACCAGGTGGTGCTGCTGCTAGAGGGCGACATGACGAACGCCCAGGACCCCTGGCAGGACGCCCCTGACGCCCTCGTTCTGCAGATGAGACTGAGGCCCAGGGAATGTGCTAGCTTTCAGTCACATGGCCGGTTGATCATGGCTGCTGACGGCCCGGGGCAGCCCCCCTGCTACGCGGTGCTGGCCTGCCGGGCACGAGGGCTTTGGAACGCTGTGGAAAAGCTGTCTGAGCCTATCTCGGCACAAAAAAGCCGAAATCCACACACAGCTTTCCTTAATGTGAAGTCCATGAATGCGTTGGAGACCCCCTCGTTGGAACTTCTGAAGCCGACAGCAGAACCCCAAGGCTGCGGCCTTCTCAGTTCCACAGATGAAGAAGGCAAGTTCGGGAACCAGCAGTTAGCGTAATGGCTATGTCGCTGGACTCCCACATAGTTGACCGTGGTTCGCATCCCGGACCCGGTGGCTTAGAACTCACACCGGGCGCGTGTGCGTGCGTGCCCAAGATCCCGAGAGGAGAATGGAGAAGGGATTGCAGCATGGCCATCCCCCCTGGGGGGGTGATTTCTCGCTTTCTGTCTCTCTGTCTGTCTCTGTCTGTCTGGCGAGCGCACGCGCCCTATAGCAAAAACCTCTCAAAAAACAAAAAAGGAAGGCAAGTAAGGAAGGCAAGTTGGGCTGAAGCACGCGTCTGCAGGTGGGGGCAGGTACCACCAGGTGGGGGCAGGTACCAGCCTGCTGGCTCCTGGCTCCGCCCACAACTTGGGCTCCCAGCTGCGGCTCCTGGCCCCCTGCTCTGGCTCCGAGGCCCCAGCTCAGACTCCCAGTTCCGGCTCCAGCTCCCAGCTCCCTGCTCCGGCTTCCAGCTCCAGCTCCAGCTCCAGCTCCCGGCTTCCTGCTCCCTTCTCCAGCTCTGGCCCTCAGCTGCAGCTCCTTCTCCTGGCTCTGGCTCTGGCCCTCACCTCCAGCTCCTGGCCCCCAGCTCCGGCTCCAGCTCCTGGCTCCCGGCCCCCTGCCGTTCTTCTCAAGTCCCTCTGCTGTGGCACCGTGAGACAAAGTAACGTCCTTGCCTTCGTCCCTTCTACAAGAGTATGGATTGTCTTGGGCTAAATGTGGGGACTTGGCATCACTTTTTCCAGTCCCAGCCTCAGGGCAAGACGATCCCCAGGCCTCAGTCAATGGCTGTTTGTTCTCTGGGGCAATCTGACCTGCACAGAGGTGCCTGAACAAAGCCAGCCCTGGGCACTGGCGCTTCCCTCAGGGCAGCCGAGCAGGCAGCATGGAGGGGTTCCGCAAGGCGGTTTGGAGGGTGTATCGCCCCACGGTGGTGTGTGGATGCTGTGCTTCAGCCAGGATGAGGTATTTATTAGGGTGCATTCGGGGAGGTTGAAGTGGGGCTGACAGAGACTCCAGGGTGAAGGACTGACTGCTCGGAGCACCCTGGGGCACCACTGCCCGGCATGGGGAGAGGAGGGCACTGCTGGGGCCCCACCAGGAGCCACGTTTTGGACACACGAGTTAACATGGACGAAAGCCCTGGGCGATGTGGACAGTGGCCGGACGTGGGGGGGACGTCCCAGGCTACAGCTCAGAAAAGCTTCCTGGAAAACTGCACCTTTGGAGCCCGAATGGGCAGGGGAAGGTGGGTGCTCTTGGAGAGAGGAGGACGGACAGCCTCAGTTGGCCCACTGGAAGGCTGCAGAGCGGACCACCACGGAGCACCCCACAGGACCAGAATGCCCTGGGCTGCAGATCCCAGGCTGGCGCTAACTGGGGCCCAGGTGGCAATAAGAAGGCCCAGAACAAGAGGGGCACCGGCTTGCACTCCCTCGCCCCGGCTGCAGCCCAGCTGGTTCTCGCCAGCTGCCAGGGCCCCGCTGGGGCCGCCCCGGGCCGACCCA